TCCAGCTGGCAAGGAGGAAGAAATGCAAAGAAAGCCAGGTCTCCCCTTTTTAGGACACTTCCGGGAAATCTTTCCCTTAGTCGGAACATGCGCAAGGCCATACTCTCCTCCAAGGGAGGTTGGGAGATGTAGTCTTGATTCTAAAGGTCCTAGAAATCAAGAGTTTTATTACTAAGGAAGATGGAGAGAACAAATGTTGACAGACACTGGGCAGGCTCTCTTTAGAATTCCAATTTCATCCCAGGATTTGGTTCTCAGTGGCTGTTTCAAGCCTTTGTAGCTACTAATACTTGTGATAACATAGGTGTATGGGACTATTCAATTCACATTGGGCTTCTGTGCCTGTTACCTGATCTAATCCTCCAGGCAGATATATTATTGTTGTTGTTGTTATGATTATTATCTCCCTTTGAACAGATGAGAAAATCAAAGCTTCACCAATTGACTCAAAGTCCCAGGTTGATAAACTGGTAAATGATGGATCCAGGTCTAGAATCTGGGTCTGTCCAACTCCCAATCTTGGTCTGTTTTCCTATTCCATGTCACTGCCTGCAGCTTTGAGGCCCCTGCAGCACAAGGAAATGGTCCAAAAAGACCTGATACTGGAATGGAGCAAGACCTGAAGTCAGGAGGACCACCAGGGAGGGGGCCTGGAGCCTTGCCTGAACCTGAGGGCGGTGGTCATAGTCCCATTTCCATCTGACAAGTATACACTGAGCATGCGGGATGCACCCAGCCAAGTGCAAGGGGTTCAGGAGACACAGCAGAGAACACATCAGACAAGATCCCTGCACTTATGTCCCTCACAAGCCAGTCAGGGAATACAGATGACAGAGAAGTGAGCAAATATATTTATATATTTGTAAAAGGTATTTATTTATTCGGTAAATAATTGCTGAGTACCTACTAGACACTGGAGATATTGCAGGGAACAAGGTAGAGATGGTCTCTGCCAACATGGATCTTACATTCTAGTGAGGGGCAGAGGGTGTCAAACAATAAGCAGATAAACATAAATATACTGTAATATAATATGTCAAGCCATAAGTTTCATATATGCTCTAAAGCATATAAAGGAAATGTGGCAGTGGTTTCCTTCCTTCCTTCAATAGGGAAGTCAAGGGGACATTTAAGCCTGGCCACAAAAAAATGAGAAGGATCCAGCTATTCAAAGAGTGCAAGGAAAAGCATTCCAGGCAGAGGAAACAGCATGTGTGAAGGCCTTGAGCCAAACCCTCTATTAAGCATTATGCACAGATTAGTTATGCACAACCACCCCACCAAGTAGATGCAATTATTATCACTAATAATAAATAACAGGCTCAAAGAGGAAGAAGGACTCCCTTAACACCTACATCCCTTAACTCCCATAAGTAGCAGAGCTGGAATTAGAACCCAGGTTCATGTTACCACCAAAGCCCATGCCTCAATCATGAGGCATGATTTTTTTTGTCCTGTTCCTAGGAAAAACAGGCATCAGCAAGAGAATGGGAGCAAATGGCTGGCACCTCAACAGGAGTGAAGGTATATGCTAGCCCTGGAACCTAAGCCACAGGCACTGCCACTACCTTGAGAGGGGATTGTGAAGGGTAATGGGAGAGAGGTGTAGGGAAACAGGGACTTACAGTGCAATAGTAGTAATAGTAAAAACTTTTACTATGCTTACTGTGTGTAAAAACTTTTATTAAGCACTGGTCCAAGGGCTTTGACTAGTTCAATCTTCACAACAACCCAATTATATCATCCCCATTTTACAAATGAGGGAACTGAGGCCTCTTGTAACTTACCCAGGATGACACAGCTAAGAAGTGGCAGAGCTGGAATGTGAACCCAAGTGGCTGGCTCCTGAGCTCACATTAAAAAAAAAATTTATTGTCAAATAAAACAACCAGAAAAACATACAGGACAAATGTGCAAATCAGTGAATTACTATAGGGCAAGCATCCCTGTAACCACCATATGGGTCAAGAAATAAAACTTTGCCAGACATCCCAGAAGCCCCTCTGTGTGGCCCCTCCCACTCTCTCAAAGCAACTGCCATTCAGACTTTTATAGGGGTCTCCCGTGTGTCTTTATGGTTTTGTCTCCCGAGGACATATCCCTAGACACTGTCCATTAGTCAGCAACTTTTTTTTTTTACTTCGTATCTTTTAAGACTCTTTTAATCTAAAGTTTTCCCTTCATCCCTTTCTTTTTCTTGTAATTTACCTGTTGAAGAGCTCAAGCTGTTTGACCTGTGGAGTTAATTTCCCAGGCTGGATTTTTCAGATGGAATTATTCATAGTCCAACTCAACACGCTCCTCTGTCCCCTGAAGTTCCTGCCATTTGCCTGCTGGACCTAGAGGTGTGATCAGACTCAGATTCTGTCCTTTGGGCAAGACCTCAGAGAGTTGGGGGTGGGGGTGGCACAGAAGGTCTGTTTTTCTCTCTTTTGATCATAGCCCATGCTCTTAACCACATTGCTGTAGGGAGGCTTGCCAGCTGCCCCAAAGCTGCCTGTGATTTGCTCCACCTCTGGCTATATCTGTCACCAAAGGCAACGTTTCATAGGCACCAAGGCTTCTGCTGCCCTTGGCCTGGCTCACACATGAAGGCAGCCCTCAGAGGTCCCACCTGAGCTGCTCCATACTCCAAGGTCTGCAGTAGGATGTGGTCCTGCCTCCGTGATGGGCGTCATCTCTCTCTCTGCTCCTCCCTCCAGCCCAGAACACCAGGCAGATGGAATTCTGCTTCACTTTCCAAAGGAGCCAGGTTCTCCCTTACCTCTCAGCCTTTGCTTGTCCTGGTCCCTTAACCAGAAACACTCTTCTCACCTCCTCCATTTAAGCACAGCTGATCCTTCAGGTTCTAGCAAATCTGTCCCTTCCACCTCCCTACTGCCAGATTGGATTGGGTACCTTTTACATCCCCTTACTTCTCCTAGGGTAGCCTTGCAAGTAACCTAGTATGTAGCACTGACACCACTACATTTTACTTGTCTGTTTTCCTTATTTGAGACAGGGACCCTGGCAAAGGAGCTGGTGCTCAATAAACACCAGTTAAATGCATGCATGAGTGAGGGAATGAACGGGACTTTACAAGTCACCTGGAGGCGTATCCAAGGTCAGTTTAAGAACTTCCGGTCAATGAGAGCCCTTCTAAGATGACACCCCCGAGCTCCCCACTGGAGGGGGGGCTCCAAGCAGTTGTGTGGCACAGGTGGCAGAAAGAGTTCCTGCCTGGGATAGGGCCCATCTAGGAAAATGAGTCAGTTCTTGGAGAGTAGCAAAACCCTTTCTTTAAACGATCTTACTAGCAACCCCCAAATATAAGACAAGTTCCAGAGGAGGAGTTTCAGGTTCAGCCACTGGAGGAGGCAGAAAGAAGCCCAGGCCCTGGTCTTCCACTTGTCCTGAGCATTAGGGTTCTTCTAAACAGTATTCTCAAGTCCCTTTATTACAGCCAGTCTGTGACTTCAGGAGGCCAGGACATTGGGGACAGAGTGTCCTAGTTGACACCCTAACTCCACCCTCCACCGCCAGTCAGGAGCTCATCATCCCAGCTGAAACAGACGCCCACAGAAGCTCTCAGTCTACAGCTTGCTCCTCTGGCTCCCCAAGGCCATTGCTTTTCTCAGCAGAGTAGATCTGGGGCCCTGGGCAGATCGAAGCTGATACAGGAGCAGGCAGGGCTACGGGCCTGCCTCCTAGGGCATGGAGCCAAGGGCTTAGACTCAGAATTGGATTATTAGAGGGAATCTGGAGCTCCCAGCACCCCTGGCCTCACAGACGTGGGGATTATCCAGGCCTCTAACCAGGGCCTTCAGTCCTTCCCACATTCCCTGCCAGGTCTGAGAAAAACGACCGTCTGTTTGCTGCAGCGTATGGGCAGGATTGTCTACCTTCCCAGCCTTTAGTCCACAGCCTGCCCCAGATGCCTGAAAGCACTCCTGCCTCCCACCTGTCTGGGACTTAGAGCAGTTATCAAACTGTGCTCCCCGATAGGCAGCATCAGCAGGCCCTGGGAGCTTGTTAGAGGTGCAAATTCACGGCCTCCCAGCCCAGACTGAATCAGAATTATCGGGGTGGGGCCCAGATCTGTGGCTGAACAAATCCTCCAGGCGATTCTCACATAGGCTGAAGTTTGAGAAGCATTGGCTTGAAACACTCTGGTCCATCCCACACTCCTGATTATGCCTCAAGCCTGTCAAAGATTCTGGGCAACTTCAACTAGTACACTTCTCCCTTGGACCCCTTCAACGCTTCACTTACAGAACTTAATTACAATAATTACACTGGATTTGCTTAATAGTGCACGTTGCACAATTCTACAGCAGTTGTGTGACTCGCAGCCTCTGGAGGTGTAGAATGTAATGTCATGGGAGCACTTACTGTGGACTGTTATGCCCCTATTACATATGAGGAAACAGTTCAAAGAGGGAACGTGCCTGGCTCAAAGTCATACAGCAAGTAAACCCAGGCCCTAAGTACGAGACTATCCTGCTTTGCACTGAGCAGAGAGGGTGGCAAGAGTTTCTACATGTCTCCTCTCTCCTCACACATACCAGGATCTCCTCCAGGGCCAGGAACCCCTCTCCTGACCTCCCTACAGTAGGCCGTCCTCCTTATTATACCCAACCGGCAGTCCCTGCACTTGTCCTAACTAGCAGAATCACACGTTGTCATTACACATCCATGGGATTATTTCATGTCTGTCTCTCCCACCAGTACGAAAGTTCCAGGAAGACAGGAAGTGGTGCCAACCCTGCTAGCTGCCTACCTGATATCCATTCTGTTCTTGTGGGCCTGACTCCGGGGCAGCTGCATACCCGGCTAAATCATGACATCCCCTCGTGTCCCTCTCAGTTAAAGCACCAAGCCCTGGCTTCTCAGGTGAGAGTGGAAGGGCTGGGTACCTAATGCGTGCTCCATAAATGCATGCTGAATGCGGGATTGTTCAGCCAGTTCTGGGCATGCAGCTGGTCCTCAGGAAATGGGTGAGCTACCAAACCAGGCCTAAGAAGCGAAGACCCCCACAGCTGCCCTTCTCGTGGAAATATCTTTATTGGTTCTGAGATAACAGGGCTGAGGCGAGCTGGGACAGGCACGAGCTAGAGAGGATGCGAGAGGCTTTGCCCTGGGGCGGACATGCTGTGTGGGATCTGCTGGCGGGCTCCCTGGTCCACCCGGCCAGCAGCGGCTGGGCACATGGCACTTGGTGCCTGGCATGACCTCTGCCAGCTTGGCACTGTGGCCTTCTTTTCGTGGGCACCCCCTTTCCAGTTGCAGGAGTTGTGAGTCTTTCACAGTGCAGAGGGGTGGGGGTCCAGGGTGGGCACCTCCCCGGGGTGTAGGCAGGCCCCATCCACCGATGTGTCCTGAGCTCTCGGCGACATCGACTATGGCGAGGTGAGGCGAGCTCCAGCTCCTCTTCCCCCGCCCGTGGGAGCTTGGCAGTCCTGGGGGGCCCTCGAGGCCTCAGCGGGACATCATGCGGACAAACTCTGGGCACGCACAGGACGGGGTGGGAAGAAAGCAGCAGTCAGAGCCCAGCACAGGAGGCTACTTTCCTGTCTCCCTCAGTGCTGTGGCCCCCTTTCCACTGTGACTGCCCCTGCCTTGATGCTGGTCCCCTACATCCATGCAGCCTCTTCCAATGCATCTGTACAGCAGCTAGAACAAGCTTTTGAATCCACATATCTGACCCCTCATCAGCCTCTCACGGTTCCCCACCAGATGACGTTCTGTGTCCTGACATGGCCTCAAGGTGCTCCCTGAGCAGCCCCAGTTGACATCTCCCCCTGCACCCATCCCTATGCTCCAATCACACAGATCTCCCTGCCAGCGCCCAGGTGCAACTGGCACACTTCCCCCGACCCCCCCACCCCCCGCACCACCTCACCTTTCAGCCTTCCTGCAGCCTCTCCCCCTCCCTTTTCTTTTTTTTAACTAGACTTTAATTTTATAGCAGTTTTAGGTTCACAGCAAAATTGAGCAGAAATCAGAGTTCCCGTGTACCTGCCCACACACCTGGACAGCCTACCCCGCTACCAACATCCCCACCGTGGTGGTGGTGGGAGATTCCTCACAGTCGCTGAATCTACTTGACACTTCCTCATCACTGAAGTCCACTGCCCCCTGGGGCTTCCTCCTGGTGGTGCACGTGCTGTGGGTCTCCACGAGTGTATGACGACAGGTATCCCACCATTAAATTATCATACAGAATTGTTTCACTGCCCTAAAAATCCTCTGTATTCTGCCCATTCCCCCTTTCATCTCCAAACAGCTCCTGGCAACCTCTGATCTTTTACTGTCTCCAAAGTTTTGCCTTTTCTCAGAATGTCACACAGTTGGAATCATACAGTACGTAGCCTTTTCAGACAGGCTTCACTCACTTCCTAACACGCACTTAAGGCTCCTCCCTGTCTTTCATAGCTTGACAGCTCATTTCCTTTTAGCACTGAGTAATATTCCATTGTGTGGATTTATCCATTCACCTACTGAAAGAGATCTTGGTTGTTTCCAAGTTTGGGCAATTATGCTAAAGCTGGTGTAAATATCCACATGCAGGTTTCTTTGTGGTGGTAAGTTTTCAACACATTTGTGTAAATATCCCATCTTTCTTTTTCACCTGGTGGCTCCTATTTACCTCTTAAGGCTCTCCTTATTTAAATCCTCCTCCAGGAAGCCTTTCCTAATCCCCCTCCAGCTTGGCACAAGTGTCCCCTGTGTACCTCACAGCCTGCAGGACTTCCCCAAACAGCAAAGACTCCTACACTGTTGGGTTCTGTTTTCCTTGCTAGTCTTGGGCTCCTTGAGGCAGGGACCAAGCCTCAGTATGCAGTCAGTATATAATACATGCTGATAGAATGAATGGGGGGTGCTGGGCTTTCAGGGAAGGGCTGTCATGTTGGGTGGGGCATTATCTGGAGACAGGGCTACCTGAGATGTCCAGATCTGGTGGAAGCAAAGTCTTCTGTCCATAGAGCCACACTCTCCTCAACCTCAAAAACCAACTCCCAAGGAAAGGCCTCCCGACATTCTGTTCTGGACACACTCACAGCCTGGCACATGTTTATCTTGCCTTTTTGCTCGGGAAGGCAGAGTCAATGTTTCCCTGGATTTTTTCCCTGTATCCTGTAGTGCTTCACATGGTGTCATGCACAGTGTGGTGTGTGTAATGGTTGGATTCCAGGCCTGAGTTTATGACCCAGCTCTGAGTCTTAATAGGTAGGTAATCTCGAGCAAGCTATAGTATTTCTCTGAGCCTCAGTTTCCTCATGTGCAACGTGAGGTAATGAGAGTGCAATCCACAGTCATTGTGAGAATTAAATGAGATAATACATGTAAATGTACATAACACAGTGATTGGCACATAATGAGTACACAGTAAATGGTAAATATTATGATTATTACTGATTCTTTTTTTAAAACTTGTACTGGGCATTATCTATGTGCCAGGTACTAAGTTACATGGGAAAAGCAGAGATGGAGAAAATGGGGTTCCTCCTCTCGAAAAGTCCAGAGTCAAGTGGAGACATAAGTAGCTTTTAGGGAAGGTGCAGTGAGAGCCCAGAAAAGAGGGGTTCAGTCTGAAGAGCCAGAAAGCAGTGCTGGGAGAAGCGGCCCCATTGCTGGGTCTGGGAGGATTGAGAGCTTCTCCCAAGGGAAGAACAGAATAAAAGGCATCCTGGCCGAAACAGCAGTGTATTCAAATGAGAGCCTGTGGGTCCCAGACCATAAGCACTTTGGGATGACTTTGGGGGCTGTGTGAAGGAGGAATGACAGTGGCTGCCACTGGGGAGGTAAGCTGGGGTCAGATCCTAGAGGGCCTGAGTGTCAGGTTGAGGAATGTGGCATTCAGAAAATACCTACCATGGGTGGGTGCGGGAGTAGGTGGGCAGATGGACCCAGGGATGGCTAGATGGAGGAGCAGATAATACAGATGGGGAACCAACAAAAAGACAGATGGATAGATCAGAGGACGTGTGGGCAGCAGAAGGATAGGTGTACATGAGTGTATTTTATGGAAGTAAGGAGTCATGGATAGATAGATGCTTTGGGTAGATGGATGCATGCAGAATAGTTAATAGATGCATGGGTGGATACCTAAGTGTACAGATCAAAGGCTGTATGGATGATTGTGCAGGGGTGGATGAATGGGTAAGTAGCCCTGGACAGATGAAAAGATGAATGGAGGAACAGCTGGAGAGACAGGCATGGAAAGATGGATGGACAGATGGACAGACAGGTGTAGGGATGGGAGGCAGACTGGGGCAGGGGCATGGACTGAGGGGTGAGGGAATGGAAAGCTGGCAGACTGACGGTTGCATGATGGACACACAGCGAGAGGGCTCTGTGGATGGCCACTGCCGCCTCACCTTCTCTCCCACACTGAGGTCCCACCTACCTTCAAAGTCCACTCGTCCATCCCCATTGAGGTCCACATCTCGGATAATTTCCTCTATGTCTCGGTGTCCCACCTGATGACCCAGGAGTTTCCTCATGGCCTCTCGTAACTCACTGGTGCTTATCTCCCCATCACCATTGGTGTCAAACTAAAGAGGGCAGGAAGGAGAGAGAGGGAGTTGCCGCATGCAGGAGCGGATCCCAAGGTTGAGCCCTTTCCCCAGCATCACTGCTCTCCCCCCACTCCCCCAGACTCGCTTCCCCTGGTCTGGGATCCAGGGCTCAGTTTCTTTCCAAGTAATCATCCTGAGGTTGGAATTCTGACAACTACCCACCCACTGCCTGTCCTTTGCCCATGACTCACCTCTCGGAAAGCATCGCGCAGTTCCTTTACTCCAATCATATCTGCTGTCTCTGCCAGGAGTTTAGGTCCCATTAACTCCACGAAGTCATCAAAATCCACATGGCCACCCACTGGCAACAGAGAGGACAGGAGTAGGTGGGCAGATGGATACAGGGATGGCTGGATGAAAGAGTGGACAGATATAGATGGGGAACTGACATACAGACAGATGGATAGATCAGAAGACATGTGGGTAGAAGTATCGGCAGAAGGATAGGAATAGGCTAGGCCACCCATCTAACCACTCCCCATCTCCCACTAAGCAATGGAGGAACTGCCAACCCCTCCTTGACCTACTCAGCACCAGGCCCTATGTATAATCAAAGGTCAAATGAGGACAGATAGATGACCATGGACAGGTGCTTTGTCAAAGAGTGGCTCAGGGGAGTGGCTGGGGGCCACTAATGACTAAGGGAACAAGTCAGGAATTGGACAGAGGTAGATATGGATAGGAGGAAGAAACATTAGATCACAGAGACCGGTAAATAATCACACACACACACACACACACACACACACACACGCAATTATGAGCACCAGTAAATAATCACTCACACACACACACACACACACACACACACACACGCAATTATGAGCACCGGTAAATAATCACTCACACACACACACACACACACACACACGCAATTATGAGCACCTGGCCCACATGCCCCACACCTTATTCTTCTTACACAAGTGGAAGCTCAACTTCCAACTGGCTCTTTCAGCAGGTGGAAGCACTGGAGAACTGACCTCCACACACTGGCCTACTTGCTCAGCAGCTTTTAGCCAGGGTTGGCAGGAGTTTGGGGGATAAATATCCAGCCAGAGTGGTGAGGGCTGGGGGATAGTTTGAGGTGGGAACTGCCTGAGTTCCCAGCAGAATTAGACTCCCGTCACCACAGCGGTGGCTGGCTCGAGAAGGCACCCTCTGTTGGCTGCTTCTCTTCATTGTCTCATTTCCTCACTCCCAGCCAATGCTTTCCTTCACCTCTCAAATAAACTACCTGCACTCAAATGCTTGCCTCAGGTTCTGCTTGTTTCAAACCAAGACAGAGAAAAACATGGCAATAACAGCACCCCTCTGTTCAACTCTCACTGGGTATTGGGCTGTTTCAGAGATATTTCCTAAGTGACTTCCTATGCTCCACTGCCCCTAGTACACTTCTCATTTTACACGTGAGAAGACTGAGGCTCAGAGAGGGTGAGTGGTTTGCCCCAGGTCACAGAGCTGGAAAGAGGTGGGTCGTGAACGTGAACCCTGGCCTATCTGACTGCAAGGGTGAGGCCGGGAAGAGCAGGAGGTGCCGGTGCAGGGCTCACGGTTCATGTTGATCTGCTGAGACAGCTCGATGAGCTCCATCTCCGTGGGCATGTAGCCCATGGTGCGCATGCAGTTGCCCAGGTCCCGGCAGTTGATGTAGCCGTCCTTGTCCTTGTCAAATTCTCTGAAGGCCTCTCGGAGCTCTGGGAAGAACAAAGGCGGGCATAGCTGGGGGTGGGACCCACAGAGCCTCGGGGGCAAAGGCAGCCCGAGGGCCCACTGGCTTAGAGAGGCAGGCCCTGGAGCTGTTCAGGATGTGCCCTCCTCCAAAGCCTGGCTGCACAGAGGGTTCCTGGCTCTGTGGCAGGGCCCGGGCCCAGGAGGCCAAGGTGTCTCTACCTCTCTCCCACCAGCCTCCCTTCCCTCACCTTCCTGGATGGCTGAGAGGCCCTTCCCCCTAAGGGGCCAGGTCTCACCTTCGATCTCTTCTGGCCGCAGTGATCTGTCCTGAAACAAAAGAACATGTCCCATTAGCAGCTTTGAGGAGGTTGAAGTTACAAAAGGCCCAGGCTGGGGGCCATCCAAGAGGCAGGCAGCACCAGGTGGGAGGTGATGGGGCGGCGGCAGAGGCAAGCCTGGGCCATGTCCTTGAGGGGAGAGGCACAGCCCCACGTCTCACACAGACAGGAGATGCCCAAGGGCCCCAGAGCCCCGTTCAGCCTGGGCACAGAATCCCAGCATCCCCAGTCCCTTCTTTATCCCAGACACAAGGATCTGTGGGGAGCAGAGTTGGTCCAAGGCAAAAACCTGTAAATAAGGCAGGGTCAGCAGGAGGTCACCCAAGAGAAGAAGCCTGCAAGGTAATGGGAGAAAAGGGGCTGATGAGCCAGAAAGTGGGGACCAGACAGGCAGCCCCAGAGGGAGGAAGAGGAGACACACTCCAGGGTGTGGAGGCGGAGTTAGGGCTGTGCCCTGCTTCCTGGGCACTGCCCCTCCTTCTCTGATTTGACCCCATCCCATACCTTGCCCTGTCACCAGACACAGCTTAGGATGCTGGCCGCTGCCAGTGCCTCTGGCTGCTGCCAAGGTCCCAAGCACACATCTCCAGCTGGAAGCAGTGCCCAGGTCTCCTTGGGGAGTCAAGGAAACCCTGGTTCCAGGCATCAGAATAGATGGCAGAGAAGGCCCCACAGAGCAGGCCTGGAGGACACGTGGGGCAGGCTCTACCTGCCGAGCTGCCAGTCACCCCGGCCTGCCCAGGAGGGAGACAGACCAGCATGAAATGGATGCCCAGCTGGACCTGCTTCATAGGTTCCAAAGCTGGTGCATGGGACTCATCCTCACCATGTCACAGCTCTCTGTCTTTGGGTAGGGTGTGCCCGTCCTAAGGAAGTGCACGCCAGGTGTGGGCACACCTATCACGAGCACACACAGGCAGGCATGCCCCGGTTAGCTTGAGGCATCGCAGCTGTGCACACAGGCTGTTGTAGCCAACTGGGCCAGGGTGGGTAGAGACAGCTTCTGCTCACCCGCTGTAAACTGGCCCCAGGGCAAGGAACCCCGGCTCTGGAAAACCTGAGAACCTCCTGGAAAGGAGCTGCTGAACATCTAGTGAGCCAACCAGGTGCATGGGACCTCACACTCAGAAGCAGCTGTGTGTGGCAGGACAGTGTTGCAAGCATGTGTGAGCTTGGAATGAGCAGGCTGCAAGCTAGCAGCCTGCAGGCAGCATTCTCGATGAGGATGGGAATCACGGAAGGTATGTAAGTCCTTGTGAGATGATTAAATGGACTTAAAAAGCCTGTCCCGATGCACAGTGCAAGTGTGGCCACTCCCATTCCTAGTCACACTTGGATCTTGGGTGACCTAAAAGGATGTTGTTTGCAATTCCCCGTATGCCTAGTAAGTGAATTCAATGAGTAAGAGAGCATATGCATGTATACACATGTGCAGAGCATATTTGCTAGGACAAGTTATTTCCCACCCTTCAGGCTTCAAGCAGCCATCCTCTCTGAGTCACAATCTCCTCATCTGTAAAATGGGTTCATACCAGTACTGTTCTCACGGAACTTCTGTAAGATCCATGAGACAAGATCTGTAGAGTGTTTAGCATGTGGCATTCAGTAAATGGAACCTACAAACATTTATATGTGTAACATCATCACCATTACCTCTTCCCTGCCACTTCTCAGATACCTGTCGAAGGTGACCCAATGTAGTAGCCACACATGGCCATTTAAATTGGAATTAAGTAAAATTAGTAATTTAGTTTCTCAGTCGCACCAGCCACATTTCAAGTGCTCCGTGGTCACATGTGGCTAGTGGCTATAATGTTGGACAGCACAGATTGCACAATATTTCTATCTTCATAGAAAGTTCTACAGACAGTGCTGTGTATTCAGTACTGTTGTTAAGAGAACAGGCCCCTAGTCCTTGAGTCAGACTCCCAGAGTTTGAATCCCACCTCTAACCCTCATCAGCTGTTACCTCTCAAACTCAGATTCCTCATCTGTAAAATAGGGATGTTAATGGTACTTACCTCTTGGAGTTGCTTGGAGGCTTAAATGAGGCAGTGCACCGAAGCACTTAGCACAGTGTATTTGCACATGGTAAGTGCTCAAAAACAAACAAAAAAACATTCGCTGCTATTGTTATTTCTTGATGGTGGATGTGGCCTCACCAATGCTTTGCAGCCATGAATGGGAAACGCTGGGGGTCACGTTCCCAAGCTGAGGGTTTGAGGTGTATCCTCTAGGGGACACGTGCTGCTGTGTGCAGAGCCCCTCTTCTTCCCAGCACCTCCTTGTGCCCTGTGAAGCCAGGTCGAGCATGGCTCCACTGGGGCCAACTTACGTACAGGCTGCCTGTTCTCAGCGAAGCCCTTGCGCAGGAAAATACAGGCGGGGCCCAGTAGGTTATGCATGACAGCACAGTTCTGGGCCAGCATCAGGAGCGGCCCAGGGAGCTCGCCGCCGGCCACCAGCCCCTCCTCGCTCGTCTGCACCACCTTGTAGCTGGTCTTCGCCTCCTGATGCATCTTCAGCCAGCACCAAGCAAATACAAAAGAGGGCAGGGTGTCACCTCACTGACCACCCGGACCCTCTGGCCCCACCTGGCTCCTGGTCCTAAAAGGGACTCTCCTCAAGAGAAGACCCTTGAGAGTCAAACAGCAGGATTCAGAGAGCCTCAGGATGCACGAGGGCAAGCATCAAATTGGTCCACCAGATGGAGCCTCCAATCTTTAGCTGGAACAGATGCTCCAGGGAGGGCTGGGTGTGATACCCACTGTGTGGCATGTATGCATACCCGTACACACATACGACATACATGAGCACAGAACCACACATTGGTGTGCATGCACAAGCTCAGAGAGAGAGAAGCAGGCAGAGAGAGGCTTCTGTTCCAACCAATGGGAAGTCTTCCCTCAGAGACTAGTGGAATAATATCCTTTCCCAGATTCCCAGCGCGCCAGCTCAACCCCCAGGGCTAAGCTCCCAAACTGGCTTCTGACCCTACCCCTGCTGGATCTCTGGTACGAAGCACTGGGGGCAGTCAGAGCTGGCAGCACCTGGAGAGTAGGCTCAAGTACTCTGCTGGACTGGAGGTTGCAAACCAGGGGCCTAGCTGACATAAACAAAGGAGGCAGGTGGTAAGAGGTGGGGGCTGGGGCAAAATGGATACTACACGTCCAGCAGCACTATTTAACTACAGCCAAATGTTGCCAGACCTTCTGATTAAAAGCTCTGGGTAGGCCAAACAAAGCCCATCTGTGGGTCCGATTCCACCAGGTTTGCAGCCTAAAGACAAGACCCTCTCTGCCGTTGAGAGTTCTCCTCCCTCCTGCCTTCCCTGGCACGCAGCTGGGCCCAGCCTGCTGAACTCTAGGAGCTGCGCAGGGGACCTCTCTGCTTACCGAATATAGCTGTGCTCCAGGGCCCCAGCCAGCCCTTCCTCCTCCCTGACAGTTCCCATGCAGCTATAAAAAGCACCGCCCACAGACCATCCCCTTAGGAGGACAGCAGCACCCAGACACAATATTCTATCCCCCCCCGGCCTCCCCAGACTGAGCAGGGCCCTCCAGAATGCAGGCCAAGGCACTCCGCCTTCAGCCCTGAGCTTGGAAGCCTCCCCTCAGGGTGAGGATGTGGGGCCAAACCTGCCCATGCAGAGTCGGAGCAGCCGAAACTTTGAGGGCTGTTTCTGTCTGGGACCCTGAGCAGCATACCCAACCCCTCTGTCCTGCTGTATGCGCTGGCCTCCAGGTTCCTCCAGCTCAAAGAAAGTCATGTCCAGGAGCAGGTCCTACAACACAGGGGCAGCCTGTCCTCCCAGGCTGAGCAGCAGAACCTCCTCCTCCTGTCCTCCCATGTGTCTTCTCCCCGAAGCCCCACAATGTGGGGCTGCAGACAAGACTCCCTTCCCATTTCCTAAGCCTCTTGCAGGGCCAGAGAGGCAAGAGCAGTGGTCTGGTTCCTCAAGGGAAAGCAGCAACTCAGACCGGAGGCAAAGGACCTCAGCCAAGGCGCAGGGTCAGTGAGCACAGTCAGAGTCATTCTTTGGTCCTCCCAGAACTGGAGGGTTATCAGACAGACCAAAGGCCATTCTGGTTTGATGCCCAAAAGAGGCTGAGCGCCTCCACCATACTCACACGGGCTCCCGGGACCTTGGCTAGAGCAAGGGCAGAACCAGAGAGACTGTCCCGACCGGGAGGCTGGCTCAGAGGAAGCCTGGGAGTAGACAGTGGGTTAACCCAGGGAACAATCTCAGGAGAGCATCAGCCTCTTGGCTTTTGGCAAGTGGGCACAACCCAGGAAAGGGGGGGCAGCAGGTCACAGAACTCTGAGAGGAGATTTACTTTACAGGCTTTGGACTCAAACAGCCTTGATGTGACCTTGGGCAGGTCATTTCATTTCTCTGTGCTCTGGTTTCAGCGATGAAGTGGCTTCTTGCGAGAAATAAATGAGCCATTGCATAGCGCCTAGAGCATGGTTAGGGGTCAGATACATGGAGTTGCCATGGTGAAGACGATGCCACCGCAGATGATGCAACTGAGGAGACTCCGGGAGCCAGAAGGCATTTCCTTCTGGCTCCAGAGGAAGTGGGAGAATATTTGCCAATCAGGGAAGAACTGAGAAGGTTGGGGAAGAATTTGCTCCCACGAAGAATGAGCCAATGGTGGCTGGGAAATTTCCACTGCATCCTCTGATCATAATACTGCCTGGCACCAAGTTGCCCCGGGAGGCTGATCTTCTTCCCCGGCCAGTGATGGCACCTGACAGCCTAGTCCTGCCGTGCTCAGAGCCTGGAGCAGGCCCCCTCTCACCATGACCAGTTCCCTGGCTACCGCTCAGGGAGCCGAGTGGGCAAGGGGCCTGCAGGCTGACAATGTCTCCTGGCACGGAGCGGCCGCCTCCTGAGTGCGGCATGGGAACAGGAGGGGCCAGCTTGGCACATGATGTAACAGCTTTCTGTCAACACAAGCTGGCCAAGGGCATGCAGGTCAAAGCTCCCTCACACGGAGCATCTTCAAGGAGGAGCTAAATGAGTGAGCCTCGATATCAAGAGGGGGCACAGAAGGTTGCTGCAGTGAGTGGGAATTTGGACTAGATGACCTGTGAGGTCAGATTCAGGAATCTATGAAAAACACTACCGCCAGCAGGAAAAAAAGAGGCAGCCTCTCACGGGGGCAAAAAATAAAAATAAAACACCAGCTCTGGATTCAACACAGACCAGGGTTTAAATCCCGGCTCTGCTTCCAGCTGGCTGTGTGACCTCAGGAAAGCTCTGAGTCTAGCTCCCTTCTCTATAAAGTAGCCAAGAGAACTTCTTGGTGGAAAAGAGCAGAGGAGACAACAGATGTTGGGTATGTGGTAAATCTTCACGATAAAGCAATTATTATAAAAAAACATAAAGTTGAGCGCAGGAAGTTTTATGATCTTTTACCTCATTCCATGGACTCAAAAACCTCTCCTATTTTCATTTTTTCCTCTATCCCCCTTGTCAGAAAACCCAGGGTGGAAAAACCTGAGTCTGATGACAATAAGACTAGCTAACATTTAGTGAATACTGTATTCCAGGCAGTGTGCACAGCACTTTATTTTGATCTCTCAGGCACCTTGGGAGGTAGATACAAGTATTTCCACTTAATGGACAAGGGAACTGAGGCCCAGAGAGGTGAGGTAACTTGCCCAAGGCCACATGGCTGGGAAGAGGAGACACTGCTGTGTAAGGGAAGATGGGTGGGGTAGGAAGAAGGACAATTCTTGTTCTTAAGTTCACTTCTTCAAGCTCTAGACAGAATCCAGGGGAAGGCCTTTCACCCTGTGGTCCCTCTAAACAAATTCAGATCAGTTTCTGCTTCTCTGCCACAGTATCAGGCCACCTCTCATAAAAGACTTCTCTAAAAAGATGACAGATGATGGGTGGGGGGTGAGGATGGGTGGTGTGTGTGTGCAGAAGAAACAGTCAACCCTCAGAAGGATCCAAGAAGCAGCAAAGATTAAAAGGAATTTGACATGAGCAGCTTAGCTAAATGAGGAAGACACTGAGCAGAAAAACCTGAAATGTCCTAAATTGAAAGGCTGTCAAACTGACCAAGGGGGTAGGATGGAGTTGGGGGTGGAGATACCATCAGTGAACCTGAGCCCTTGAGGAAGTCACTTAACCTGAGTGGCAGTCAGGTTCCTGATGAAAGAATTAAAGGAAAATATCCCTTTCATTCCTTCTTCCTTTAAATACTGTCTGTGAGTTTCTTCTACGGCCTGACTTCAGAGTGACTAGAAATTCAGGCAGAGCCCATTTGAAGCAAAAACTCTACAGACGTGAGCCCAGGGTTGCATGAAAGATGCTTTGCAGATAGATTTGTTTTGTAAACGGATATTATCCTGGTGTATAAGCAATAAATCCACTACACAGAGTGACTTATAGACACCTTTGCTCAACATTCTATTTCTCAATGGAAACAACCGTGGGCCCTGAACCAGTCTGGTCTTAGTTGAGATTCTCCGACCTGACTTGAGAATGGTCGAGGGTAGAAGGGGATATCCTGCTTGGTTCTTTTCAGTAGCAATGGGATCTACTTCAAAACCCACAACTCTGAAGGCCTAGAGACCACCAGAAAGGGTCAGTCAAAGCAGACAAATGAACCCACAGCCCTGCTGCTGGGAAGGAACCTCAGCCTGCAGCAATAAGGTCAAAGCCCGGCTCAACCCTCCCTGATTCTGCCAGACTCAAGGGGGTCTAGCCACTCACATCCTAAGGATCCCTATCATTCATTTTACAGCCCAAGAGATCCACAGTTTCTTTCCTAAATCTTACGCAAATTCCCAAACACAGCTCCCATGCACCTCTAAACCCCAGCTTCAGCTCAGAGCCCAGGACATAGATAACCATGATAGAAGGGAATTCGGAGGTAGGAAGAGGGATGCACATCTAGACAGAGCCCATAGGCAGGGTAGCAAGCTTCAGATGCCCACCTCTTCCATGCACAACCTCTGGGACTGAGGGCAAGATGCTCCAATCCCCACCCCAGGTCCTAGGAACTCCATAAACATACCTTCCTTGAGAGATTTCTCAGTGGAGACTTGACACAGTTGCCCATCCTAAGCTGAGGCAGCCCCTCTTGGGATCCCCAGGTCCATGAAGGCAGCTGCTGGGGGCGACGAGACCTGAGTCCCAGTCACTGCCAACCCCAGCCTCCCTCTGCCCGAGCTGCCTTCCCCCAGGACCGATGTGAGCCCTCTCTTGCGCGCGTGCTCTCTTACTCGTCTGCCTGCTCCCGCTCTCGGGGCTTTTTTTTTCTTTTTTGGTGGATTGCGTGTGTGTTTGTGTGTGGGGGTTTAACTTTCTGAGCACTTTCTTAAGGAGATGAAGACAGGAGGGGAGAGTGCAAGGCACAGAGAAAATCACCCAGAGAGCTGATGGCAGAGGGCAGCCAAGCTGGAGAGGCTGCTGGATCATGGACACGAGATTACAGAGCTGAGTCCTCCCTTGGGTTCATTCCCTTTGCCTCGGCCCCTTCTCTCCTGCTGCCAAATCTGCAGAGAGATTGCCTCCAGGAGTGGGGCCCAGAATGGCAGCTGCAGCTGGGAATTAGGCCAGCAACTCAGAAGGGGAAGCAAGCTAGTTTGGGCCCCCAAAGCCAGGGTGCCTCACAGCTCCCAACCTTGTTTGCATTTACACACACGCATGCACACACATACACACACACACACATGCACACACAAGGGACAAACATGCCTCCTAATTGCCATCTGGCAATTGCAGCTGGATTGAGAGCAGGCAGCTCCAGATGAGGGTCTGGGAGATCTTGTGACTTCTCCACCACGCTCCATTTTTCACACTTGCCTCGTCACTGAAGTGGGATGAGGCTCCAAGCTGGAAGCACTGCTAAGCCATCAACAGTGAGCTGCTCCTTTCACTCCCATCACTGTGTGCCGCCTCTCCATCCCAAGGGAAACCAAGAGACGACTCTGAGGGGGCACGAAGGATGTCGCGCTGGCACCAAGGGCATGAGTGAGGGCCACTTTCTTCTAATCCTCTGCCTGATTCCAAGCAAGGATCCTTCACGAGCTTTCTTGGCATGCAGAGTAGAGAGGCCACCTTTTGCAAAGCAGTTCTCAAGGCCCCACAACTGGAACTTTTTAGGTGACTGGCTCTTCATCACTGCTGGTACCAGCTTTGATGTGAATTCATTGCAAACCTCAGACGTCACCTGATTCGCGAGACCTATAGCCCAAGCCAGACGACCCAAGAAAGGAAGTGTCCCCGTTTCCCTGCACCCAGCTTTTCCCAGCAGGAAACACCAGAGAGAGGTTGGGAAGCAGAACTCTTCCCAGCCCCCTGATGCAACAACCCTTACCCGCGTCCCTGAGTTTTCAGCACAGAGAGGTTCTCTTCCCAGGCACTCTTTGTCCAGCTTTGGGTGGCTGGTCAGAACTCCCATTAGGGGAGACGGGTGGGGTGCTACCCAGAAAATGCCACACACCGCTCCCTGGAGCTGAGGGAGAAGGCCTCTGGATAGTTCCTGATGTCTGCGCCGCTGCTGATGTTCCATGGCTTAATCAGGGGAATTATTCAGCAGCCTTGTTTGGGCCAAACCTCCTGGGGAGAGGCACCCCCTGAGGACAGAGGGAGGAGCCTGGAGTTGGTGGAGGGCTGATGCCTAAAAGGCAGAAAAGGGGATGAAGACATGAGGGAGACCCAATGGGAGAGAGAGCAGCCAATCTAAGTGCTTCGTTCTTCAAAGACGTATTTCTCAGAAACAGCATGAAGCAGCATCTCTGTGAGCTGGGGGTCAGGTCAGGAGGAAGAGCAATGGACTCAGAAGAACGGGAAGGATCTGCAGGCCTGGGGTTGAGTCCTGGCTCTACCGACTTCTGACTTCTCACATTCCAGAGTTTCAGTTTATAAGCCTGGAAAATGGGGCTTCCGCTATCTTGTTTTTAAAGCATACATGAGCAAGTGTGTGGCACGTAATAGGTACTCCATAAGTAATTATTAGGATGGAAGAAAGATGTATCGTTTGTGCAGTGTTTATGTGCCAGGCATTGTGCGTAGTTCTGAAAATGTTGCGGTGAACAGGATAAACACGGTCCCTGGTTTCAGGGAGCTTACATTCTAGCCAGTGGGTAAGAGCTATTAAAGAGCTTTGGACCCACTTATTTAGTTACAATTCAGGTACATGCTCTGAAAGACTATTTTGAAAAGCTAGGGATCACCAGGGCCCCAAGAGGGCAGATGGTTTAAGCTCTAGGTACAAACCCAATTCACATTAATGACATGGGCAGACACATGGAAACACAGCACAGTGTAAAGCAGATGCCAAGGCCGCCTGCAGGTGAGAATCACGGGGGAGCTTCCTCAGAGATTCTGATTTGAGAGGTGCAGGAGAGCTCCAGGCACTGGTGGTGTTTAGTGCTCCAGGTAATTCTAACCCGCAGACAGTGTTGAGAACCAGAAACAGAGGCTCGGAGCTTGGAATAGAGTCAGACAGACTTGGGTTCAAATCTTACCCTGCTGCCTAGCAAACACATGGCCTCGAGGACTTGTTAATCTGAGCCTCAGTTTCTTTACTTATCAAATGGGTGCATAATACCCCTTCCCTGACAGGGTGCTTGTGAGGCGTTAATGAGATGATACATGCAAAGGCCTTGGCGCAGTGCCAACCACCTACAAGGTGCCCCTTCCTCTGCCCAACTTTGGTTTTAAAGGACCGGGTATGGCCTCCCTTCCTTCAGCAGGGCACCAGTCAATCAGAGCTGGTGACTCCTGCCCCCTGCAGGCCAGCCTGGAGCACAGCACCCTGCTTGCCGACCTTGGGCTCTGCCTTTGTCCTTGGAAAGGGAGACGGGAGACTGTCAAACCAGGTCCCTACGCAAAAGTCACGCACTTCGAAGAAATCCCATCCTTATTTAGGGGGAAAGGTGCTGACACTAGTTTGAGGCTTAAGGGCAGCAAGAGATTCAGGGATTCAAACCCAGAACTTGCTTAAGCTATTTTGGGCTGGGCAGGTGAGGTGACAGAGGTCCTGAGAGGTGGGGGTGACTGGTGATCTGGAGGGGACAGCAGATGGGCTTGACCTTTAGCAGAAAATTTGAAGAGGTCTGAACGGTGGGGGCTTCTCTAAGGAGTAAAGCATATCCCTCAGCCTCCCACCCCCACCCTCATCTCTGTGGCAGTAAGACCTTGGACCTCTGGAAGCCAGTTTGAGTTGTGAATGGAATAATAGGATCAGAGGAATAAGAAGGATAAACCCATTGCCGATTATTCCTGTTTAGGACGGAGGCTGGCCTTGGCCCTGATCATTTCTATCACCAGTATTTGAACTTGGATGGCTGCCCAGTGCTAAGACACTCACGGAAAAGCTGGGTCATTACCTGAGAGGAGCTTGTGGATGCTTCTGACAAATAGGAAACACACTTCTATGACTTCCCACTGAACCAGTATTTGGCAGCAGGTTGCTTTGGAAATAGGCAGTCCACATCACTGTCCTGCCATTTACTCATGGTGTGACCTTTGGACAAGCCATTTCCCTTCCCTTGAGCCTGTTTCCTCATCTCTAAAATGGGGGATGGTAATGCCAACCTTCACAGGTTGCTGTGAAGATAATGAGAAGATACTTTGGCAGTTGTTTAGAGGGCTCTAAACTGAGGTCTCAAGTACCCTTGGTGCTTCCCCCAAACAGCTAGAGGCAAATGCAGACATCCCAGAGGCCTCTCTATGATTAATGTTAACCACAGACTGACCCTCTCTTCCCCTTCCCCAGGCCCAGAGGAAAGGCAATGGGCTCCCAGCCCTCCCAGAGAGCAGGGGGGAGATTTGGCTGGGCAGGAGTGAGTAATATTCACAGCCCTCATCCTAGGAACACAGCCTAGCAAGATTGAATCCATTAGGACCCAAACCATTATGGCCTCCCTCCCCCATCTAAACTATAGGGACTAATAAATCTCTGAAGTTCAGAGGCTGGAGATACCAGTCATTCACTCACTCACTCACTCACTGAATTCTGCAATCCTATTGTGTGCAAAGCAGTTTGGGAATTGAGTTAGCCTACTCCAATCAGAGGAGATGTTTCTAAAGCTAGAAAAAGGGGAAGGATGGGACAAAACTGTGGATTTTATACATATTTGCCATCTCTACAAAGGGTGTTTTTTCCCAAGCTGAGTAAGGAGCAGAAAGACTGTTCTTAAAATAGTTTTCCAGGACTTAATGCCAAGAATTGCCCCAAGTCATGCCTATTCTGAGTTAATTTCTGATACCACATCTTCTCTAGGCAGCTGGGTAGCACTGTCCTTAGCTAGCCACAAAGACAGTACTAAGGGAAGGTCCTTTGTCATTCAGGTCTTTCCCTTAATGGCCTTTCTCATCTGGCTCAGAGACAGTTTTTAAAGTAGGTGATTCAGGCCCTCATCCAGACAATTACTTTATTAATAATAACAATAATAATAACAACAACATTATTTAGGCTTCCCTTTTTCTAGCCCCCACTTGGAGCCAGGCCACCTAACAGCCTTAATCCTGGGTAACCCTCATAATAGCTCTGCAATGTAGTTTCTTCAATCTCATTTCTGGAAGAAGAAAATCCAGACCAGAGAAAATAATAAGCCCAAGGTCACAGCAATAGGAAGAGACAGAGCCGGCAATGGAACCTGCGGCTCTACTGTCTCCCAAGCCACCAGTCAGTGCCTGCACCCTCAAACCACACCATCTCCTTGTGGGTTGTAAGGGTGCTCTGTGACGTCACTGGAAGAATCCTAATTCCTGTGCCCTAGTGTAGGAGCCCATCTTGGTACTTTCATTCCTCACTTTGAACCCTGGCTCTCCCTGACTATTACAAATGGAAAGAAGGTCTGCCACCATCTTAGGTAGTTAATCAACAAAACAACAACAACAATAATAATACTAGCATTGATAGAGCCCTTACTCTGGGTCACACACCGAGTCAAGCTCTGTACACATCTCCATACCCTGTTTAATCTCTCAAAGAGAGAGATACTCCTAGTTTGCAACTAAAGAAACAGAGGCTTAACGAGTTCAGCAATTCACTTAAGGTTAAAAAAAAAAGAAGAAGAACTTGGGAGACATGAAAAACGTACTTCCCAGGGCTATATTTTGCCATAAGCAGATCCCATCTGAAAGTTTCTGCATTCAGAACACCATTTCCCTTCTCTTGGTCCCAACCCTGTCTCTAAGGACAGAAATGTCAATGCAGAGAAGGGAAGGAAACACCAGCTCCCCTTGGTCTCAGGAGCCTGGAAACTCTGACACGGAAGTCCCAGGCCTGGTTCCGCTGCTGTTATTCAAGCAGACGCCTTACAGCTGTCAGCAGGAAGCCCGAACCGAATGTGCTGAGCTTTAAAGAAAAAGTCCGCAGTTCTCGAGGCAAGAGCTTCTAGAGGGAGGTAGTAAATATTTGATGGGCCTTCCAGCTCTTCTTGACTCAGGTGACCCTGGTGACATTTCAGAACACTGGGCTGGAGAATATGCTTCATGTAATGACTGAGAAAGCAGAAGGAGGAAGAAAAGCAAGTAGCTGAAATGTCTGAGCTCACAAAGGGCCTATGCAGGCAAATTTCAAGAGATTGGAAAGAGAGGGCCCTTTTTCCAGGAATGAAGTCAGATCACCAGCAAACTAAGTAACCAGGAACTCTGAGCCTATGACCTACCCCTCCAACTCTTAGATTATAAACTCCAAAATAGCCAGAGCCTGGCTCCTCTCTTGTGTGCTGTTGTCTCTGCAGTGCAAATGCCTGGGCAAAGCAGGTGCTCAAACAATATTGGATAAATGCAAGAATAGGTGTCACTGGTTCAATGACACAGTATTCCTTCTGCAAACTGGCCCCACTCCACAGACCACCCTGCCCACACGACCTACACCTCCTCACTAACACACAAGCCACTGCAGTGAACTTCTATCCCAACATGTCACTGCACTAACTCTCACAGCTTTGCCTCAGGAGAACTGTTTCCAGCTACTCTGCTAACAAGGGCTCCCTGCAGGAACAAAGCTACACACTGCTGCCCTATCACACCACCACAGCAGCCCCATGCAACCCGAATCCAAGGGCAGCTGCCTTCATGTCAGACCTCCACCATCATCAGCCGCTGTGGAGTAGTACTTTGAAAAGAAACGTGCAGATCTAAAGCAGAACACACACAGCCTCCTTGGAATTCTGATCCAGCATGGCAAGCTGGGAGCTTGCAACAGCTTCTTTATGCTACATACTAGCGCAGAAACACTCAGGCCCCTGTTTTCCCCCACATATCATGCAAACGCTCTCATCAGACCTCTGCATTATACTCCTTGGCTGCCGCAGAACTGTCTCTGAGTGCCAATGAGTTTGACTTAATTATGGAGTGAGAACTAGAGGAAATCCTGGCTTTGCTCGGGAGTTCACAGGTTCCTTTCTGGTGAAACTCTGTTCTTAGCAGCACACCCCCAAACTGTAGACCTGGGTTAAAGGGCAGGTGCCCAGCAGCCTGTGACCCTTAAGAGAAAGACCTAGAGGAAACCCCGTAGTGACCTTTCTGACCCTGGAATGCCCACCAGCTCAGTCTTACAACTTGATAACTGCTCAAATGCCATCCTAATGGCAACCCTGGAGTGACGACCTCCTTAAAACACCCCAAAGTTCCAGTGTGAACCATAGCTCTGTACAGCCCCTCCATGCCTACCCAGACACTTCTCTTTTCTCCTGTTGTTGAGTCTCCCTCTAGCTTTCCTAACTTTTCCCAGGTCTTTGGGGCCACCACAGGCAATGGCT